TAGTAGGAAAATTTTTAATTTTTCTATTTTTAACTTTATATATTTTTTAAAACATAATTATTGGAACACTAAAAAAACGTAGAAGTCGAGACAATGAGGAAAATACACTTCTAACCTTTATAGAAGCCTTAAAAATTCTCTCACAGAAGACAAATGAAGAACGATCAACTTTTATATTACTGTTAAGACCCTTTGTGTTTTATCTCACTCTTCATCGCTACCTTAAATTTCTTGAGGAAGAGAATTCAATTTAATATATATATGTAAGAATTGAATTTCCACTTCAAGACGAGGATAGATATAAGATTAGACATACAACGTATATGCTCACTGTACGTGCATAGGTGCTAATCAAAAACACAAAACATAAATGCTTAATCACTATATCAATCTTTTCTTGAAAAGTAAGCAGGGCAGTCTTATTAATGAAGAAAAAAAAAGAACATCCTAGAACAGCTGTTCACAAAGCTCCACCAAAATTAAGATAGAAAACTTTGAAATTGTTTAAGAGTTGCTTTCAACGTCCAATCATTCTACACGTATTTATGGCAAGAAGTTCTGTCCCTTGCCTCATTAGAATAAATTATCTCTGATTTGTTGAAATTATAAACATTACTTCATCATCACCGTCATACAATTCTTCCTACTTCACGGCTTTCCTCATCTTCATAGAGTTTATGATGGGTGTACAAGGAGAAAAAGAATGCTAACAAGGAGGTGAAAAAATGTAAAGTAAGGCTTGTTGTCAAAGGCTACTAACAAAAGCGTGGAATTGACTATGAAAAAGTGCTTGCACTAATTATTTGAATAGACGATTCGATTACTCTTTTGCTTGGCTGCTCAAATGAAATGAAGAACTTATCAATTAGATATAAAATCAGCATTTCTAAATGATTATCTTGAAGAAGAGGTCAATATTGAGCAAGCTACGAAAATAAGGTCTTGAGTTTGAGTAGCAAAACAAATTATATGATAAATGAGCAGGACTCGTCTTGCTTACATATTTGATTATTGTTGTTAATAGAGGAGAAAAAGCAATTATCTACTTACCCCAAACAAGATCTACGAAATCATATTTTTTTTCTATTTAAAACTTTAAATCATCTACCTTAAGTGTCATTTTAAAAAAAATTAAACATTTAAAAATTGAATTGTAATAGTTGATACTTTTAAGACCAAATTATGACATGAATCAAAGTTTAGAGACTAAAATAGTAGTTGATTATTTTTTAAAAAATTATATATTATTTACAAATTTAATTAAATAATATAAAAAATTTATTATAGATATAAAAGAAGTTAAATCTTAAAATTTATTTATTAAAATTCAGTTTTTTTCAGCTAAAATCAAATTAAATCAGCTAGTTCAGTAGGTTAAATTTTTTTGTAACAAAAGTTTTGCTTGGCCAACAATGAAGTTCGAAATTTGTTCAATTTGGAATATTATGAAGGGAAACAACTCAAATGCCAAAGTTGTTCATCTCTAATGAAAACAGTTTTTGTTCATCGTTCAAAGAAGCAGTTGTGACGGTGAATAAAATTACCTTGAAATTACAATTTTGAAGGCTATTTTCGTATGTAAAATTGCTTGGTTGTTTTGCCGTGCCCCCTTTTAAATTCCTTTTAAAAAAAAAAAAAAAAAAAAACTATGTTGAGGTTTTGCATCAATTTGATCAAAAAATTTAATGATTACAAAGTATTTTTTTTTGCATAAATACGTAATAAATTAAATAGAATTTAGTGAATTTAGTCATTACAACTTTATTAATACATGAATGAATTAAGTCCTTAATTTTATTAAATAAAATATTATAGAGGATTATTATCAGCTCCTGATATATCCAAAAAAAAAAAAAAACGATAAATTTTATATTTTTGATAATTATTTAAATTTATAATATTTAAATAAAATATAATAATACAAGATATGTCATTTCATTGTGTTATTGGTTTGACAGGTACATAAAGTTATTGCTAAAACTTACATTCTTATCTTGTGAACATACGTAAGTCTTAAACGTGCCAGAAAACGTCTCTTCACTTTAATTTATTCAAACTATTGCAGCAAATTTAGACCATTAAAGTACCAAAAACAAAATTGATCTCTTGTGGGTGCTTAAAATAATTAAATAAAAACAAAAAGAGAAATACTTTTTAGATGAGTTGAGTCACATAACTATAACTATAAATGAAATTCCACTTTATAATAAAAATTTCTATTTTATCTAAATTATATACTTTTTTAATACAACAACAATTAATCTTCAAATGAAACTTCTAAATGAGAAGGAACTCAGGAAGTCCACAAGGCCCATTAAGAAAGAAAATGTATTAGTCAACTAAATTTTCATGGACCTCCCTCTTTTAGCAAAATGGCCCTTCGATATGAATATTCTTTTTTTTCAAGTAAATTTTCGATTAATTTAATAATTGATACATCTACTCTTTTATAAAATATAAGAGTTCGAGTTGAATTCTACTTCCGTATATATTTTCCATTTAAAAGTTATTCGTGTGATGTTATCATTAATGTTTATAATATCTCTATTATTATGTAAGAAATTGTGAATTTAAATTGAACTGTATTTTTTTATATATTTTTATTTAAAGATTATTTGTGTAATATTATGATTAACGTATGGAAATTATTTAATTGATGAATACGTAACATCCACCTAAAGAAAGAAAAAAATTGTAAATAAAAAAAAATAAAATTAGAGTTTGGATGTAAATGAAAGAAAATTACAAATTTAGGGGGAGGGGGGGGGCTTTTAATTGATTCCAAGGATTTAAATGAAAGTATGTAAGAAAAACGGAATAAAAACATAAATAAAGGAAAGTGGAAGGGGGCAAAGGAAACCATAAAAAATAGACGGCCCAGATCGAACCGCTTGAGGAGATCGGATAGATAAGATTTAAAAGAGAATGGACGACTCAGATCGAATGAAGATTCAACAATGGGGATGAACAGGTATAAAAGGGAAAAAAGTTAGGGTTTCTTCTTCATTTTGAAGAGTAGCCAAAAAGAGAGAGAAGAAAAGAGAGGGGCGATTGACGAAAGATGGAAGAGGAGGTTGTCGCGCGGAGGAAACCCAAGAGAGAGAAAAGAGAGAGGAAAAAAGAGAGAGGGCTGGATAGGAAAAGGGGAA